AGACTCGAACCCGCAACCTTTGGGTTATGAGTCCAACTCTCTAACCATTAGGCCACGACTTCCCCCACATGACCTTGACCTTGACCTTATAGAAATATAGACTTTTTTTAATTGGCTGATTTATTAATTTATTTCTGAGACACATGTATCAACTGTAATTCAAATGTTTGTGTTTTTGTTCCACCAGTACTCTTACATAACCAGTTAGTGTGACAGACTGACATTATCTCTTCCCTCCAGACTGCACCTTCCTACTGTGAGCCACACCAGATACTCAAAGCCCTGCTCTCTTTTACATAAAACTAAATAAATAAACAGTTTCATGGGATTTGCTTTCCAGAAAGACATAAAGGACAAGGTTGCGTTAGATAAAACGATAAGATGTTAAAGACCTGCTGTGACCCAATTCAATCAAATGATTATAACTTAAGTATAAAATTTAATTCTCTCAGTGGCAACTTGTAAACAACTTGTTGGACGACAACACCCTCTCTCAAAAGATAAAAAGGCCGATGCTTTGATTGACAACCTGTGCAGCAAATGAAAAATTCGTCGTCTGGGAGTGAGCCAATGAAATTTGTGGGGGCGGGACTAAGCAAAAACACCGGACTACTTTGCGCCTTTGTTTCAGTTGTTGGTAGTAGATGCGACGAGAGCAGGAGACGGTAAGCGCGAGATTTTAATTGACAAGTTTTCTGTTGTCTGCAAAGCTGGTTACTTTAACATTAAGTTAGTCCACTTCTGTCAAAATTGTTAAGTTATGAAGAGAAGAAAGGATTACTTAAGTAACTTAAGAAAGGATTGCTTCTATCGCTGCATTGTAACGTTACCTTTCGGCATTATGAGACACAGGAATTACTCGGTGTCTCAGTGTAATACTAAATTATGTATAGGTATGAGTTAGCTATTGATAACAACGGAACTATACATCATAATGTTGTTACTGTACAAATACACTGAGTCAAATAAATGTATCGCAGTCAATATGCTTGTTGTACATCAGAACTCTAGCGAGACCAGTGTTCTGAAAAAGTGTAGGTCCTTAGATGAGAGAAATGTGGTACAGAGATGCCATCTGGGTGTAATACTATGGTACTGAATGATTATATATATGATTAATTGTTTACATTTTATTTTAAGGTGTCCTTCCAGTGCATTTATACACTTAAGTACTGAGTAATATGAATTAACCTGTACTATAGGTTCATTTCTTGTCATTATGTATAATTTACTGTTATTACTGTATTAAGTAGGCTACATGTCATGCAAAACAATGACACGGTAAAATAAAGTAATAATGTGAAATGATATTCCATGGTCCTTCAAAGAATCCCTTGGCATTATGATATGATAACTTGACAATATGATACTTTATGGTAGTAGTTTTTTTTTTGTAAGCAATACAACAGTGACAGGAGTACATTTCTTAGAAATGAAATACACTTGTGACAGACAGTTTTGTGTTTTTTTCTGCCTGTCAGCATGAAAGATGTTTGCAAAAGCCACTAAGAACCTGGTCTCTGAGATCGACACTGATGGTTCCCTGATCCCAGTGTCCCGTCTGAATGACTCGGATGGTCTGGCTCCTCTGGCCCTGGTCATCAAGAGAAACCGCTACTGGTTTTGGCAACAGCCCAAGTACCTAACATCAGACTTCAAACTAAATGATGTTCTTGTTGGAGATCCCATAAATCCAGGTACAGAGCGACTTTTCTGTCATTCTGTGCGGAAAAGTATATGGTCTGTGATGGCTTGAATTTTTTTATTAATCTTACCACTTTTAAAGACATAGCCCTTGTGAAAAAGTAGTACACATAATTTAAAAAACAGTATTAACTGTGGAAATAATACACTTTAAAAGAATGTCCTTAAGTGTGAACAGAATGTGACATTTTCGAATGTTAATTGCAATTGAATAGAAATATATTTATTTTTAAATTTATATTAAATGCAGTTAGCTGAATTTTAGAGTGCTTTTATGACCCGCTTAAGTAGGACTTAAGTACATCTTTATATGTGATTTCATACTTCTATTGTCTTTGAAATATGGATTTATGGTAAACTAAAATATACTTTAATATAATTTTTATTGAGACTTGTATGTAAAGTTTTTACATATATTTGTAATTACACATTTGTAATAATAAAGTTGCAGTTTAGGGTAACACTTTATTTTAATGTCCTTGTCACACACGTTACATATACTTTCTATTATAAGAACAAAAAATTATGCATAATTACATTTAAGTAACCCTAATCCTAGCCCTAACCATATAGTAAGTACATGTAGTTAAATAATATTACTCCGTATTAAATGTATAATTACACTGTAACAAGGACACCTTAAAATAAAGTGTTACCTTATAATCAAGTACTTATTTAGTATGTTAGTCAACACATAAAACAGCACAACAAAAGATATTACATTGATGATTTAAAATGTACTTAAAATAAAACTTTTAATTTGACATTATTACAAAGTGCACTTTAAAAGTGTACTAAAGTGTGTTTTAAGGAACATGTTCTCTTTAGGTACACTTAAATGTCCTTTTATTTCATAATATTATCTGCACAAACAATTTTTTTATGATTTGGCGTACATTACAAGTGTACATCTCTTTTTCTCAAGGGACTATAGTATCATGTTTTCTCTGTGAAAATCGTTCCCCAAATAGTTTGTGTGTGTAACTCTGTTTAAAATCAGGTGGTTTTGTGTTTAACAAGGTGTTATGTGTTTGGGAGAGCTGATGTACATTATTATTTTGTTCACAGCTGTGGTTGAATCAGACTTTTTGACCTATAATGGCAAAGTTGTGGATAACAAAAGTGGAAGTGCTGCAGCGGAATTTGGGCCGGGGACCATTAATGTGGGGGGTGCCGGCTCCAGCAAACTTCAGTCATCGTTTGGAAACCTAAAGAAAGAGGAGGTGGATGTGCAGAAGCTCTTACAGGATTCCAAATCTAGGTGAGGGACTGACCACATGATTGTGTTTAGAGCCACTGTCTTCACAAGCTTGGTCAGATAAGAGAGTGTTGTGATATGGAATGTGGCTTAAATACAAGTGAATCTCGCTTGTAGTGACAGATACAGACAATGGTGAATGAAAATAAGGAAATGAAAGTATGAGGCGTGTATATTTCTGTTTTTCCGTGAAGTCCTCCTTGCGTTTTTTTGTTTGCCCTCGATCACAAACTGAGATTTAAGGCTGAAGGTATCTAAGAAATATGCTTTGATTTTCTAAGTATGCTCGATTGTTTTATCACATTATTACATGAGGCAATTATGTGAAATTTAGTGTCTAGAATTATGTGTCTAGTTTAAAAGGTAAAAAAACGGATGATTTTTTAAAATTATATAAAAAAAAAAAAAAACAATTATGATTAAGAAGGATAGACTGTGGAAGCCCATTTCTGCCGAGAAAAAAAAATAAAAAATGTAATTGCGAATTTGTATCTCAGAATTCTGAATTTTCTCCTTGCAGCTCTGAGTTGAGATCTCACAATTCTGATTTTCTCAAAAATCAGAATTGTGAGATCTCAACAGAATTCCCAGAATTCTGCCTTTTTTCCCCTCACAATTTTGAGTTTACATTTCACAATTCAGAATTTATATCCACAATTCTGACTTCTTTTCTTAGAATTGTGAGATATGAACTCGCAATTGCAAGTTAGAAGTCCAATTCCGTCAGTCAGCTTGCAATTCTGGCATTTTCTTACAATTGCAAGTTTACATCTCACAAATCAAAAAAAAAAAAAAAAAAGTTAGAATTGCAAGATGAAAACTCTGAATTGCGAGAAAAAAAGTCTGTGAGGTAAAAAGTCGCAATTACCTTTTTTAAAATTTCTTATTCACTGGCGGAAACAGGCTTCCATAATAGATTCATGTATATATGTGGGAAAAACACAACAGTTATTGAACACTGTTTTTAGAAATTTCAAAATGATTTGCACATATGTAAAGATTTTTTTTTCTTTCATGGTCTTCTATGTTCTCATTTGTCATTGATCATATATCTAAAACTCCTTCAATAAAATTAGCGGTCATGCACTTTGAATGCACTTTGTCATGTGACCTAAAAATATTCTTTGTGTCTAAATTTATTGGCTTATTTGTCTAAATCATCTTGACGACACCAACAGGAGAAATTTAAAGATAGATATATCTCCAACCGTTTCTTTTTTTTAAGTTGATCCAGGTGTATTGATGCAGGTGAAAAGTTCTAGACAATGAAGACTTGAGACACACCTTCCACACCTAGATGAATGCATTTTTGACAATAAATCCATGTGACACACTTGAATCTCTGCTGTGGTTGTAGAGTTCTGGACCTGAAGCACTCTCTGATCGAGCAGACACGGGAGTCGCAGAGGGAGGTGCTGACGCTCGTGAAGGAGCGTATCGTCACCACTCAGCCCTGTGCCATCACAGAGGATGTTCAGGAAGGTGGTACCTGCACTGGAATGTTTGGGTTCAATAAGACAATAAAGGTGGGGCTTTTGTGATCACACATTCTTCTTGTCCGATGACAGTCTTGGGTGTATCACCATCCAGTAACAACATTCCAGGGGGACGTGTCCGGTCCTGTCTCCTCTCCTCCTAATACAAACTGTCCCGTCTGTCTCTTGTTTCTCCACAGGTGTCAGTCAATGATAAAGGCAAGCCTTTTGTCGAGTATGACACTAATGTGTCAATCAACATCCCCCCCAAAACCACCATTGCTTACAGTGTGATTGAACTAGAAGTTGCTCACACTGGACACTATGGTAAATCATTTTTGCTAAATCATTCATTGGAAGTTTTGTACCAATTACATTCCTGATCAGAAGTTTTTGCTCGAGGAACCAGATTTAAGGTCATTGCACACGGAGTATTTTCGCTCAAATTTCGCACCTTAAAAAATAAATACGACCTCACGTTGTGTCACGTCAATCACGTTTACACACTGCCTCCGAAACTTTCATTCGTCATAAAAAAATTTGGATCGGGTTTGATTTTTTGCGTTTTTCGCATCCGTAGCAAGCATTTTCAGAGGTGTTTTGACAATTCAGAGCCACCGTAGAAGCGAAAGCCAAAAATTGTATGCTGGTTTGGTTCACGGAAATTGGTGGTCTTCTTTTAAATATGTGGCTCTAGTATTGCTACCAATGCATCAAAATCCTGTAGTAAACCGAATCGCTCGGGATAATCCCACAGCTCCTTGATTCTCTACGCCATCTCAGAAGATGAACCCAATATTTCATCTTTCTTTTTCTTTTTTTAAGAAGAGAGAGGACAACAAAATCATCCTCACTGCTTAAAGACTATTTTGTACTGTTTTGCGAATTTTTCCACAATGGATTAATTAATACGCATCGGACTCGGTGTGCAAGGCATCTGTGCTTGACGAATTTTTAGGATGACCAATACGAAAAAACGCATACGAAAATTTCGGACTCAGTGTGCAAAGACCTTTAAATTGGACATCAAGTGGAAACCCAACACACTACCAAAATTGTTTATTATACAGAAGTTTAGAAAAATGTCAAACATTCTAGGAATGGTAATTCTGGATGGTCAAATGAGCCGTATGAATGTAATCCATTTTGTCAGAACTGTGCCTGCTGCCAAATATCAAGGGAGGTTTTGAAGTTGACGGGCCAGTGAAAGTGAAGCAATCAAGCACAGTTAGTGCTGCACCCGGGAAAACAACCAACAAACTGCAGAAAGGTAACATCACAGTAGCTACTCTAACCATCTTTCATTAAAAACAACATTGAGAAAAAAATATTTTACTGTCAAAAATTTTTTAGAGTAATTATTCAGCAACAACTGTAAAGTAAGCCACTGGAAAGTTGACTTCCCAACTTTGTGTAAAACTAGTGTAAGTGTAAAACTAGAGTTTACATTTCCATAAAAAACGCTTTGATTAAGATGATTTACTTTCTCTCTCTTTAGATCTGGAAGGACTCCAGGGGCAGTTTACAGTCCTCTCTAAACTCCCATCCAGCACACGCTCCTCATTATTCCAGCAGATCTCTCTGCTCCTGCAGAACAGTGCAGCCATCAGCGTGCTGGAGGACGCAGTGAGTGAGACGGGGGAATCTTACATCAGATTTTTAGTTTGTTTGAAACAGTTGGAATTATTCTACAACAAATGCCATCTAGTTGTCATCTTAAAACATATAAAGTGCTTAACAAATTTATCAGACCACCACCCAATGTAAGGTTTGCGCCACAGCTGCCCTCAACTAACAGTATTGGTGATTACCAAATTTATCATTATCATTTTTTATGTTTCTGTAATGGTTAATCCACACCAGTATGTGTAAGCTTCTTATTCACACTAGTGTTTATAATGCTAAAATATTCATTATTGTTAGGATTTAATGGATTTAAAGATAGATCACACAAAAGTTTAATCAAAAGCACATCTTTAGGAACAACTAGAGACTATTTGGAAGTACATAAAAACAATGGCAGCAAGAATGCAAAGTGTTATCAAGGCCAAAGGAGGCCATACAAAATAAAAATAACATTTATAATTTTGTGAATAAAGATTTAGTTGTTTTAATTTGTTATTTGTTGATAAATAAATTTTTTTTCTGTTTTGTTTTAAACAGGTTTTTGACAGATTCCTAATATATTTATATTTTCTCTTCGGTGGTCTAATAAATTTGTTAAGCACTGTCTATTACTTTAATATATTAAATATATAAAATATATCTTAATATACACTAGTCAACATGTAAAGTGGATCAAAATCTTTCATCAAAGTTGTCCTAAAATCAAAATGTGTTCTTGTCTTAGGACCACTTTGATGAACTTTTTTGATCCACTTCAAATGTTGACTACTATATATTATATCTTTAATAGATGTAAAGAAAAGAAAAAAAACTAGAAATTGAGGGTGGATATACAAATGTACACAAATAACCATCCCAGCAGTTATATATATATATATATGTTACATTTTTAAAAATGTCTATACGTTTTAAAATGTTATTTATTCCTGTAATGACAACGCTGCATTTCCAGCATTTACTACAAATTATTCCAATCTTCAGTGTCACATGATTCTTAAAATCATTACAACATGCTGATTTGTGCTAAAGAAACACTTCCTCTTATTATCAATGTGCTGATTAATATTTTCTGGAAACTGTAAAGCCTTTCTCCCCAGAATTCTATGATGAATGTAAAGTTAAAAAGAGAACAGCATTTATTTGAAATAGAAACCTTTTGTAACATTATAAAAGTACTGGCACTGTTGATCAATTTAATGCATCCTTACTGGATTGATTTCTTTCCAAAAAAATAAAAAATAACTTACTGACCCCAAACTTTTGAACAGTAATAATAGACATGTTGGACAGCTTTAGACTTGTGTGTCCCTCTCTCAGCTAGAGGACCTGTGTGGTGGGACGCAGCCTGATCCCAGTGCATTAGAGAAGGTACCTGCTCTGAAAGCCACACTGGAGCTTGTACAGAAGACTGCTGGTGCTAACCCCTCTGGAAAGCAGAAGAAACCCAGCGCTCTGACTGCCACCTATCTGCTCATCAGCTCCTTAGATGGTGAGTTCAGTTAGAGTGACAGAATTTTGACAAATAAAGGTCATAGATTGAGTTTTGTATATTATTAACTGGTCATAAAAGCAATCAGTAATTTCACTTTCAAAGCATCGTTGTCATTTACCTGATGGTTGTTTGTTATCATACACCTGCTGTCAGATTGACCTTTGTTCTCATAACCAATCATGTGCTCATGTAGAGATGACTGACTCTGCCCTGCTTGAGCTCAAATCCTGCTGTAGTTACGCAACCCTGCAAGCTTTGCTTCATCTTGTACGTATCTTCATATTAAGTAACTGTACTCCGTATTAAGAACAGTTTTCCATCAAAAATGGTGCCACATGTAATAAATAGGGCCTGTTTAAATGGAAAAAATTCAAATAACCACATAATTTAGTCACCCTCAAGCCATTCTAGGTGTATATGACTTTCTTCTTTTAGACGAATACAATCGGAGTTATATTAAAAATGTCCTGACTCTTCCAAGCTTTATAATGGGAGTGAATGGGTGTTGAGATTTAGAAGTCCAAAAAAGTGCATCCATCCATCATAAAAAAAGTACTCGGCCCTGGAGGGTTAATAAATGCCTTCTGAAGCATTTTTGTGTAGTGATAATGACAGTACATGCTTTGTTGATAATCTCAACACATAACTCAATTTTTGTTGGCAAGCTTTGTAAAAGTTTCGTTGTGTTAAATACAGGCTTTAATTTGCTCATAAATCCAGAGCCATCATTGTAAAAAAAACTCAGAAAATTGCTAAGGGAAATCATTAACTTTATCATGCTTTTTTCTGCCTATATGACGTGTTTATTTTCCTGCAGGTGCAAAATATGACTTCAAATAAGTCCTCTCTGAAAGATGCTGCTTTGGCTGCGCTAACCAATGAGAAGGTTTTCAAGAAGGTTACATCACTCTTTGCGTCCTGTAACGTGACACTGCTTAAGGAGAAGGATTCAGTGGTTACAAAAATCGGCAACCCACAGGATTGCCTTCCTCTCATGCTGTGCATTGCTGTTAAAGGCTTGGCATCTCTAGTGCCCCCTGTCTGACTGGAGTACAACAGCAAAGCTGAGGACCAAAGGGCACTTAAAGCGGTGGACAATCTACAAACCTTGGGATAAGAAAAAAAAAAAAAATTTGGATCCTTAAGTGGCCTTTCAGCTGTTTTATAGAAATTGTCTATTCATTTTAAATAGTTTTTTAAAGTACCTCTGTAATGTCAACCTTTTAGAGTGGAAATACACAGTGTTGCTAAGTCCGCGACCCTAATAACTTGTATTTAGCTGCTGGAATGCGAATTTTTACCAGGGGAACCCGGACAAAAAAAAAAAAGTTTTATCCCACGGAACGTGATTTTTGCTGGGGGGGGGGGCTTTATCCCACGGAACGTGATTTTTACGATTGGGCTAGTTTAGAGTAGCAATTGGGCGGGTTTTGTTGTGAAAACCTGGCAACCCTGGAAATACACTCATATGAAAATGTGTGCAAATGCACAATAAATTGTTTACATCGTGTTGCCAAGTTCGCGGTTTTCCCGCGGAATTGGGCTACTCTAACACTGTTTCCGGGGGTTGTTTTTCATGTCCGCGGGTTTAAGCAACCACAAGAACGTGATATTTAGCCCTTAAAATGCGAATTTTACCAGGGGAACCACGCCATAAAACGTGTATTTTACCCCCCGGAATGCAATTTTTACCAGGGGACCCCCCTCGAAACGCGATTGGGCTAGTTTAGAGTAGCAATTGGGCGGGTTTTGTTGTGAAAACCTGGCAACCCTGGAAATACACTCATATGAAAATGTGTGCAAATGCACAATAAATTGTTTACATCATATTTTGTACATGTTTTCATCAATTCCTTAACCTAGTTTTCTCCCATCTAAACTTTTTTTTAACAAGAGCAAATCTGCACACCTTGGGCCTCAGAAACCATTCTAAAATTGATCTTAGATCATTTCTCATGCGTATGTGTGATTCATAGAATGATCGTACGCACAGAAAACACACGTACACCTCTCTTTCAGATGTGAAATCTATGAATCGCAAATGATCTTGAACTTGTGCTCAACTGAATGGTGTCAGC